GCTGTCCCTCAGGCACCCCTCCACATCCCAGCTAGCACTTGGGGGTACACATTCCAGGTCCATGGGGTAATGGCGGGTGATCTCGTCATGGTGTTTGCTGAACCTTGGTGAGGTTATACACACAGGATCCCAGAACTTAGCCTTGTGATGAGAAGGGTCCTTTAGATGAGAAATCTCATCTAACTTCAACCTGTCCTACAGACGAAGAACACGAGGCAGAAGCTGGCTGAGCAACACTCAGAACAGGGAGCATGGCAAGTGTCTGCAGAGACTGGGCCCTCCTCTGTGTGTGTTTGAGCATGTGTGTGTGTGCATGGACAGGGACATGCATGTGTGAGAAGGGGAGTGTGTGAATGTGTGTAAGTGTGAGTGTGAACCTGTGTGTGCACACATGAGCGTGCTGTATGTATGTGAGTACGCATATGTGAGAATGTGTGTTAGTGTGTGTGAATATGTGGGAGTGTGAATGCATGTGAGTCTGAGTGAGTGTGTGATCGTGAATGTGTGTTAATATGTGTGTGTGTGAGTGTGAACATGTGAGTGTATGAGTGTGTGTGCATGCATGCATGACTTAGGAGTGTGTGAGTATTGTGAGTGTGCATATGTGAGAGTGTCAGTGTGTGAATCGGTGTGTACCCTAAAATCCAGCATTGCACACCTTGTGGTTCACCTGGCCTCCCATTCTCGGACACTGTTTTAGGTAAGATGCTGGACTTACGACTTCGAGGACCTGCCACGGACTGCGAACTCAGTCTTTGCTGGATGGGCCCATGACCCTGGACACGGTGTGGGGCACAGTGACCTGGAGTGTTCACTCCCTGTGAGCTTACAGCTCAGTAGTTATTTTCTCCTCCAAGGGCTGACGTGGAAAATGCAAATGTGGAAAAACCCTCTGGCCGTCATGCAGAAAATATGCATAAATAATAACTGGAGGAAAATACTTGACTGTGGATTAAATTAAACAAACACACATGGGCCTCTTTGTGCCGGCATGAGAGGGAGGTAGAGGGAGAGATCAAGCTAGAAAGACACTGCAATTCTGAGTTTTAAAAAGTAACGTTATTCCTGATTCCACCATCATTCACGTTTTATCAAAACGTTCATGTATTATAGTAGCAAAAATTCTAAAAGATGATAGATACATTCAGTATTATAATACAGATTCATCCTGTATTTTTAAATATTCAGAATTACTTAAATTATAATATCTTTTCTATTTATTTTACTGTTGTTGTTAGGTCCTGTCAAGCCAGTTCCAATTCACAGTGACTCTATGCACCATAGAACGAAACACTGACCAGTCCTGTGCCTTGCTCACAATAGTTGTTATGCTTGAGCCCATTGTTGCAGCCACCGTGTCAATCCATCTTGTTGAGGGTCTTCCTCTTTTTCGCTGTCCCTGTACTTTACCAAGCATGATGTCCTTCTCCAGGGTCTGATCCCTCCTGACAACATGTCCAAAGTGTGTGAGATGTAGTCTCGCCATCCTTGCTTCTAAGGAGCATTGTGGTTGTACTTCTTCCAAGACAGAATTGTTCATTCTTTAGGCAGTCCATGGTATATT